TGGATCAGAAGCAGGTGTGAAGGAGACACATGCACTTGGGCGCCCCCAGAGAACTCGCTTCCCTACACTGAGCCCCAACTCCTGAACGCTCTGCCACCTCCCACCCCACAGCTCTGTAAATACCTGAAACTATCACGGTCCAGAGTTAGGATATTATAATCCCAGGGAAAAGTCTGACAAGTAAATTCTACTCTACCACTTCCAAGACAGCCCAAAGTGAGAGAAGAGAGACAGAGACATAGCTGCAGTTGTGGGGAGACAAGGGATCCAAAGTCCAGGCGGAACAAAGGCCAACCAGAACAAAGGCCTCCATCCGGGGCCAAACCCACTTTTAATAACCCATGAGGAGGGGAGTGGCTCGGGTTGAGAGACTGAGGATGGCAGGAAGTAAGCCAGTGCTGTGAGCTGGGCTGGGAGGGGGCACAGTGGCACCTCTGCAGTATGCACACAGGCGTATGCAGAAGGGGTACCGGATTCCAGTACCAGGCAACCTCCGAGTCTGGAGGAATTTGGATAACACAGCTTGAGGAAGTATCCTTGTTTTGGGTCAGTTACCTCTGCTCTGGGACTGGCCCTCATCTGCCCTGGGACATCACTTCTCCGTTTTCTAAGCTCTATCCCAGTGGGCAGCTGGGCTTCTGTCAGCCTAACTCAAGCTTAGGAGGAGGGAGCCTTAGGTGGGCTCTTACAGACCTGCTGCCTTGCTTCGAAGGTTGCACATCAGTGCCTGGGCTAGACCCACTTGCATTGCTTACAGCCCATTGAGCGGGTTGAGCAGCCATAAGGGAGAGTCAGACAAAGGCAACCAAAAGGGAGCAAATTGTCTCCTTCCAGGGGCGGTCATCTCAGTGGTCCTCCATGAGCACCCAGGGCAGGAACCATGGCGGAGCACAAGCCTTTGGGACCATCCAAACCACCACAGAAGCAGTGACCTTCTGGAGGCAATTTTAAATGTAAAGGAAATCTTAAAACTCATATTTCTAATGATACCGTAAGTGAGTCCAATGAGACGGACACTCCCAAGACACCAACAAGGCAGAAATGAACAAAGCTTTATTGCAGAGCCGGCCAACAGACAGTCACTGACCAGGAGCCAGAGAAGATGTCTGCGCCAAACTGGGTCTCACCTTCAGTTTAAGTGCATCTTCAGGGGTTTTGTTGTTGTTATTTTGTTTTTGGTTTTGGTTTTTTGGTACCAGGAATTGAACTCAGGACCTTGCGCTTGCCAAGCAGGCACTTGTGCCACTGAGCTATATCCCCAGCCCCATCTGTAGGCTTTCATAGTAACTATTACCTCACTTTGGGGAACTTTACAAGAATGTCACACAATTATCACGAAGTTTACCTTTTCCTGAAGCTGTCGGTCAGCCAGATTCCAGATGACCATTGTGGTTTAACATTTAGCCTGCTTCCCAACTTGTTCTGTTTGCTCCGTTCCCATTTTATAACTCTGTTCCAGTTTATGAACCAAGGGGAGAGGTTGAACTACGGTTTAAGTAAACTTTAAGTGACTTCTCTTAAAATGGAGTTGTAAAAAGAAGATGGAGCCTCTCTTGCCCCATCACTAACACTATAAAAGGAGGAAAGTGGGAAGTGAAACCTGTTCCCACAGTTAGAAATGCACAAAACTCAAGAAGCCTTAACAAGACCACTACAGCCCAGCAGCCTGGTGCATCCTGTTATGTTTTGCTTGCTTTCAAGTTTTTCAGAGTTATCACTGAAGGACGGCTAGGCTCAACCTTAGACAATGATCTATTCTTCCTGCTCACCATAACCTGGACCTCCTAGTTATAGGATAATAACCCCAATTAGCTTACAGAGGATGAATTTTGCCTAGCGATGTATGACAAGACATTTATAGACAACTGCAGAATATCCTGTTATCTGTCTTTTGTACTTCCTCCTAAAAGCCCTGTTATGGTTAATACATTGTGTCAGCTTGAGGAGTCTAGAAGGTTACCTAAGTGACTCAGCAGTTCTGCATTTTGGGGTAAAAAAGACACGCCCTTCCTGCTCTAGGATACTGTTCATTGTGTCAACCTGAGAAGTTAAAAGTTCAACTAAGTGATTCAGCCAGGCCAGGGTCCTCACTTTGTAAACATCCTGAGCTTGTGGAAGAGGGGCACAGAGCTGGTGTGGGCATGGGTAAACAGCAGATATCAGGGATAGCAGATATAAGGAACAGAACGAGGCTTGCTCCCGCCCCTTTTGCTCTTGCTGCTTTTGCTGCCTTGTGCTGCCTTAAGTGTCACCCCTGTGCCCTGATACCCCGCCTTAAAGCTAGCTGATTATGGACTGCAACCTCCACACACTGCGAGCTAAATGAACCTTTCCTTCCTTCCTTTGCATGTCTATCCCAGCAACTAAAATAAAGTAACCAAGACAAACCTATAGAAGTAACTGTTTTACTCCAAGACAGGGCTGGTGACTGGAACCTCAGTGTCCCCCAGCCCACTGGCATGATAAAGCCACATGCGTCCAAAGGTCCTCAGTGCCGTGTCATCCCTCAGGTTGACCCCGAGCTCCACAGCCATCTCAGCACATCCAAAAGACGCCTCGCTCTCATGTTCACACCGCGCGATGCACAGGACCACACTGTGGAGCCACACAGGTGTCCACGGATGAATAAGTGGATGAAGAAACGCAGTACACCCAGTGGGATTCTAGTCCGTCACACACAAGACAACACTCTGTCTTTGAGGGCATCTGCATGCACAGAGGATCCTAATTTTAAGTGGTATAAGCCAGACAAACACAAAAAGGAATACTTCCTGGCTTAATGCACATGAGGGTTCTACAAAAGCTCAGCTTATAGGAGCAGTGAGCCGGTCAGTGGACAGCAGAGGCTGAGTGGGGTGAGCATACGTCACCAAACCAGAGCCAAGTCACAGCGGATAGAAGGCTGGGACACTGCAGCGGTGATAGCACCCAATTCCCAGGGCGGGGCTGGAGTTAGGGAGAAAGGAAAGGTTCGAATGTCCTTAACCAAATGATCTGTTGTTTTTGGAAATCTCTTGTTTTGACTCATTATTTCTTACTTTTTCTTTTTTTCATAGTTTTATTAGCATGCTTACAGTGCATCAACTAATAATATCAAAAAGAATGAAAATGGTAAAAGGAGATTTAAAGAAATGATGATGTGTGATCAACAATATAAGAATCTTGAGTTGATTGATACACAATGTACATGTGTGAAACACCACACTAAAATTATACCAATTAGACTTGTTTACAGTGTGCAATATACAATAGGAAAAAATGTATTTGTATTTTTATGTTGATGTTTTTGGTTTTCCTCAGCAGTGGGAATCAAGCCCAGAGCTGGTCTATCATTGATCTACATCCCAAGTCCCTTATCTTTTCTAGAGACAGTTCTCTCTCAGGTGCACAGGCTGGCCTTGAATTAGTGATTCTCCTGCCTCAGCCTCCTCAGTACCTTGTGTTTCACAGGTGCGCCATTGAGCATGACACATAGGTGTATTTTTAATACTCCTGGAAGTAGGATTAATTATTCTTTCCTGAAACCAGATATTATTACATTCACAAGACTTAAACATTTTAAGGATACAGTTGATTTGTGATAGGAGAACAACTAAATAATGACTTAAAATATCACAGTCCAAAATAATTTGCTAGTCCAGCAGATGGTTGGGAAATAGAAGGAAATTAATTACTGTGTCGTTGCAGGACCCTGTCTCCAGTGGAGCTGACACCTTTCATCCCTGGCACCCTCGTCTCTCCTGTCCCTCGGCCACCCTCCTGTGTCCTCTGCCTTTGGCCCCACTCCTCCCTCCCACAGGTGACACCGCTGTCACACTGACACTCCCGGGTCCCATTCCCCGCTCCGTGAGAAAGTGGAGGACATGCTGCGGGGGAGGTTTGGCTGGAGTGTGTGTTCAAGCTCCTTTCTCTTCCAGCAGATTCCACAAAAGGTGGTAAAGTAGATTTCCTCACCCAGTGAAGCTGGGCTGTTACAGGTATTGGAGGGTAAAAACATAGGGCCCCATGTAAAAACTTTGGGAGACAGCTTTCTTAAGCCCAGTAATGACCTCACATCCCCCTATAGCTCCTCTACACCAGGCCACTGGCCCTGGTCCAGAAGATGCTGGGCAGGAGGTAGGACCTGTGGTCCAGGGACGGAAGACTCTTCAGTGAGCCATGAACAGGGTGGGCCGTGCAGATGAGCATCCGGGCCAGGCTCAGCCGCTCACATCTCACGAAGACTCTGTCCCGCCAGCGCTTTCGCCTGCTCATCGCCACCCTCAGCAAGTGGAGTCAGTGATGAATGCAGAAAGAAGTCACGCAGTTTCTCCTTTAACTTTTCCTGCAGGACAATGAACAGCAATTTCGGGAGACTGGAACAAATATTAGTTTTGTTTTCTTTTTTAATTAAAGAAGACTTTACTTGAAGGTGGGGACACGGGGAAGTCATACAGCTAGTTTCACTTACTTCATCCCAATATTAGTTTTATAAAGTAGAAAATGCACGCTTCAAGGAAAAGGGTGTGGTAACATACAGTGTTTCTTAATGTCACCACGAAGTTGTCCCATGGAAAGAAAATAAATGCATAGCCAGCTAACGAGTTTCTCAAGTTTCCACAGAAGTCACGTGTTTCACTTACAGTGTGCTTTACATGTAAGTAATCATGAAAGTTTTAAACAAAGATTCCCCTAGGGATGGCAACTGTCCTCCCTGTGCACAATCTTTGACAGGAGCCAGGAGGGCAAGAGGATGAGGCCAGGCAATACTCCAATCCTTTTTTATAATTTTATTGTCTCATAGTCTTGTCTTCATCTCAGTCAAATTCCTCGGGGCAAAGATGACTCTAAACACAAATAAATTAGAAGAAGGAAATTCCCTGCAGAATATTGACTTCTACAAACTTACCCACCATATTAATTATCTAGAAGCTATAGCTCTGGTCTCAGAAGATCAAAAGCAATAAACCTCAAGAGGGTCCCAAGGCAGCACGCTCCTCCCTCCCCCACATTCCCCATGGATGCGTGACAGTCCCACCTCGCCATTAAACCCCAGGCCTCCAAAAGGAGTCTTTGTCTTCCTGACCACAGTCTCAACATCCTCACCGCCGGATCCTCATCTCTGGATCCTCACCTCTCCTCGCCTCTCCAGCTCCCCCTCAGTCTCAGGTAAAACCAGCTGGTGGAGGCGGGGATGCAGCACTGAGTGTGGGGGAGGCTCTATTTCCAGAGGTTTGGATGGAGTGTATGTTCAAATTCTTTCTCTTCCAGCAGATTCCACAAAAGGTGGTAAAGTAGATTTCCTCACTTACCTAATGAAGCTGGGTTGTTACAGATACTGGGAGATAAAAACATAGAACCCCAAATAAAAGTTTGTGGGGGACAGGTTTCTTAAAACCAGTAATGACCTCAGTTTTATCCTCAACAGAGCAGGTCTCAGGCCTGAGAAGTTATTGGTTCTGATGTTATAGTAACATGCATGTATTTCCAGATACTGGTGACAATGTAGAAGACAGTAGCAAAAAATAACTCAAGAACAGAGACAGAGAGCAGTAATCCTCCAAGAGTCAGGAACCTGTAGCAAGCCAGGATTATACTAAATGTCACATAAAAGCAAAATGAGACAAGAAAACCTCTGTCATTCCATACTATAAATGATGAAGGATAGAAGCAGACTGATAAAAAACAAAAGTTGAACCAGCCTTGCAATGTCTGATAGATATTTGGAAATATAAAGAAATGCAGGGGCTGGGGATTTAGCTCAGTGGCAAAAGCGCTTGCCTGGCAAGCACAAGGTCGTGAGTTCAGTTCCTGGTACTGGAGAAAAACCAAAAAAAAAAAAAAAGAAGAAATGCACACAGCAGGAAAATGAAAGCATTTTCAAGGGACTCAAAGCAGCACTGGCTACATGTGAACTTTCAAGGATAGGGTAGGCCTAATGCAAGGTTTATGCAGGCCAGTATTTGAAGGTGAATTGCACTAACATCGTGGAAAGAATGTGTTAAACACTTGATGAAGGCAGCTAGCTGTTGGGAGACTTTATCCCTCAAGCCTCCGAAGCACTCCCAGGAGAAAGGGCTGGGGAGAGCACGAGGCTGTGGTGTCCGAATTCACAGTGACACCGGGAGACAGCAAGGGGAGGCTGTGGGACGATTCCCAGAGGAACTAGCTCTGCTGCAGGGGTCCAGGACACACAGCAGGTCAGCCGGACACACAGCAGTAGGGGGGGTGAGGTTGGAGAGAGGACGTCTGGGGAGATGGACAGGTCACACCAGAGGCAGCCCTGGCGTGTTTGGGCTGTGCGGCGTCATCGGGGCTGTGAGGTGAGGACTGTGATTCCTGAAGATCGCGCAAGCAGCTGAGCGTGAACAATGGGTCAGGGCAGCAGCCTTTGGAGCAGCATCGACTGATGACCTGAGGCTGACAATGTGGCAATAGTGGGTCCCTTGCTGCATTCCTGAACTCATTCCTGAACTTCCTGAAGAATTATTTTTTGTACCATTTCCAAACTGGTGGGCATCATTTACCCAAGTTGTTCCAATGGCTTAGTCACACAGAGAAAATCCTTTCTGTGTCTACCTTACTTCACGTAACGTGTGTCCTCCAGACTCACTAGTGCTGCTTTGAGGGACAGGATCTCTTTTTCCCAAGGTTTCACCACTAAACTGTGTCAGTACCATATTCCCTTTATCCCCCATTCTGATAATGGACACTGAGGCTGATTTCATGGCTTCTCTGTTTCAGACATATGGGAGCTACAAAAAGTGGAAGGACGATGAGAAATCCAAAGTACAAATAAAGACCAAAACAAAAGACAGAGAATAGGAAACAAGGAGATATGCTCTCTGCAGATGGGAAGAGGAAAACAGAAGGAGGGAGGGAGGAGGGTGTAAGATGTGTAAAGCATTAATAAGTGTCACATGCCTTGGTCGTTTTTACACACCCTTCTCTCCCGTCCTCTGCCCTCCCCCATTCCTTGGTCCTCTTTCCGTCTGCAAAGAACATATCTCCCTATTTTTTCTTCTCTGTCTTTTAGTTTGCTCTTTATCCATTTCCATGTATGTTCATTCCTTATACATATTCATGGCAAAAATCTTTAAAACATACTGGTTTCATTTTCTGAGGATAAACACCCAGCCCTGGGATTACTAGATCATGAAGTTTTGAAGAAATTTCATATTGTCACCCAAAATGGCTACATGAACTCATTCCTCGTCTCAGTGTACAATGGCTCCCAATTCTCGCAGCTTTGCTGAGGGCTACCTGGTCCGTTTTACATTAGCCATTCTAACAGCAGTCAGGTCGGAAAGACAGACACCACAGGTCCGCACTCGGATGGGAAGCAGAAATTGAAGAGGAGAGGAGAACAGTGCTCCCCAGGCAGGGTCTTCAGGTGGGCTGAGGAGTAGACGCCAAAGAATAATACGGTAGAGGAGAGAAGAGCAAGAGTGCTATACTGGCTTCATGAGAAATCATCAGCGGATGTTAAGTGCTCTCACCACAAAAAGATAACGCTGTCAAACAAGGCAGATTTCAACTAGATTTACCCATTCATCAAAGTTTATTCCCTTGAAAACATCATGGTATATACAACAAGTTCATACAGGGTATGCAAATACATTGCTTAAAAATAACTTTAGTTGGTCCTTAATGGATTATTCCATAATTTTTAGCACAGTTTCATACTGAAAATACTTGAGAATATATTTCCATCTCTTCAACCTACAGATCCTCTTAAGGACTCGTATTTAAATGTAACAAAACCCTGCCAAGAACTGCAAGGACTTCAAAGAGTGGCTTGCCCAGTGGGTACATTCAGAGACACCAGTGTGAAAAGTGCTCCCAGGGTCTTAGAGTGGAAGCTCCAGCTCCAGGGATCCCCAAAGGCCAGACTCAGCCCCTCATTGCAGAAAACCAGTCAAGGAGAAGAGTGGTGGAGAAAAACAGGAAAGAGCTTCACTCACCCATGACCAAGCTGGAGGAGGGCACGCGACTCTTCAAGATGCGTCCTGCAGAGTCTGAGAGGAACTCCAGGGTTCTGGAAACAAAAGCAGCAAGGGTTGAGGGTTTGCCCAGCTGACCAGGTAGTGGGTAAGCCTGGTCTGCTGACGGCTCCCAGACTGGCTGTATGAGGAGACTCGAGAAGGAGTCTTAGCCCCTAAGGAGCCGATGCAATCTCCACAGGATGATTGCTCCTGTGAGGTGTGACCTCACCATGGGGTGGTTTGTCTGCAGAGATGCTGATGGAATCCAGTGTGACTGCAGTGCCTGGAGACTTCAGCAATCACTCCTGGGGTCTGAAACAGGACACTGTAAAGGCTGACAGGTGACTCTTCCATCGAGCTTTGAAAATGCCTTACTTGCTTATGCTTAACTAGCTGTCCTTAGTCTTGAAGGTAGATGAGACACAGTAGATAAATTTAGGGCTGGTAAACTTAATGTTACCAGCTTTTTAACAGATTTCCCTGAGTGATTAATGTGCATGCAGAGATGAGCAGGCATCTGACCCACAGATGTTAAAGTAATAACAGTCAAATGTGAAATGGAGGTAGAGAAGGGAGCTCCACCCTGCATGGAGCTGCCCCCGGGGGCCCTGTGGGCCCAGCCTCTTGCCCTCCTACAGAAGGCTGAGGGTAAGCTGCTTTCATCCCTGGCCCTGAGTTGTCTGGTCTCTGTGCCTGCAGAACATTGGCTCAGAGACATCGACTCCAGATATAAACACTGCCCATCTCCCCAGACCAGATGCCCACGTCTAATCCATGGCAAACACCCCATCAGTACCCAAACTCACTCCCCAGACAGCGCAGCTGTCCATGTTTGCATCAAACTGCTTGCAAAAGCCCCACCTCTGCACACATGAGCAATTTGCAGACATTCCAGTCCAAAGCACAGCAAACCTCCCCTGACTCCCAATTCTCACATCCATCTCTTCATGCAGAATGTACTTTGTCCATCCTTAGAGTCCTCAGGAGTTAACAGTTCAGCATTGCTCCAAATTCAAGTCCGGGTGTGTTACCACATGTTCAAATCTGCCTAAATGAAACCCATTCGACAGTATAACCAATATGCACTGATAAAAAAAGACATGGGGAAGGTCTGGGAACCAGACACTGTGTGGCAGGGTTCCAGCCCCTGAGAGCCTGGTGCATGGAGCTGTAGGAGAAACCAAGGGAATCCCAGGAATTCAGTCCCAGGATTGAAAAAATTCCAAGGCCAAAGTCTCTCCTGAGACTCAAGGCAACCACGTGGCTGGGAGCTGTGCTGAAAATAGAAAAGCAAGTTCCATGCATCTGACATACAACAGTGGGACAGGCACAGTGTGAATGTTCCCATTCCAAAGTCAAGGGATGGGAAAATAGTGCGAAGGAACTCAAAACCCAGCAGGACAAACATTAAACCCTAAAGCTGTATGCCCAGTGCCCTGGGCAGCCTGCAGCAGGACGTGTGTGCCGCCTCCCTGGCCTGCACCCTCATGGTCTCTCCTCTGCTTCTGCTCCCAGCCTGCAGCTTTCTTCACTGGATGTTCCGTGTTTCTGCCATCTCTAAATTCCTGGGATTCCCTTGGTTTCTCTCACAGTTCCATGCAGCAGGCTCTCAGAGCTCGAACCTGCCACACAGTGTGTGGCTCCCAGGCCTTCCCCTGAAATCCTGCTGGCAGCCTCTGTCACCCACAATTCACATACTTGCAAAACAAGCCCTGTGTTGAGGAAACCCAGGTTTCACACCACTGTGAGCAGAAGCCAGGTCCCCTTGGACAACAGCTGCTGTGGCCTCTGATTGCCTGCATGGCTGAGCATGGTGAAGTGAATCTGAGGGAACAGATCCTCTAGGCTGACCTGCTCCAGGAGGACAATAGGGGGCTCTCTCCCCAAAGGAAAGATTTATAACTCTAGGTGTGGTCATAGTGATTCCTAAGATGCCCTCAGGGTGTCTTTCCTCTTGTCCCTTTCCAAAGCACTTGGCTTCTTTTAATGGCACTAATCTCTGCAGCAAACACAACTTACTTAAACCCAGTTTTACATTCACTATTTTCTGGACAAACCTCAAGCTTTTGAAATCTTCCTGTTCTCCTCTCCGTTCTGAATTCTCACTGTTAACCTGGCTGAAAGCATGGAGCAGTGCCCATGCCATAGCCTGAATGCCATTCTAATGTGAAATTTCCTGTGTCAGATTGATAATTCTGTCACCTTTAAAGTCAGGCTTCCACAAAGCCTCAGAGCATGGACAAAATTCAAAAGTGTTTCATCACAATGTAAGTTGAAAGGACTCTAGACCAATTGCCAAGATGGTACACTTTTCTTTCTGTAACTGCATCAGCACAGACTTTAGAGTGTGTATTCTATGAGCATTCCAGCCTCCTGAGGTTACACTTGAATCATCCTGTGTAGCACATTTTAGCTCCATCCCTACTTCAAAGTCAAAGGGTGGGTAAGAGATATACAGTGGCAGTTCAGAGTTGAGGACAACTCGGACACTCATGGGCATCATTCACCAATGAGAGGGAAGGGATGAGAACGTGGATATACAAATAGGAAAATAAAGTTTACACTCATACCTTGTCCTCTTCTTTCCAGCCGGATATTAAAGGTTGATGCCATGGAAAGGGAAAATGTGAGTTTTCCTGACACTTTTGTCCTGCTGGGCTTCTCGGAGTTTCCGTGGCTGGAGGTTTCGCTCTCTGCAGTGGTCCTGGTCTCCTACCTCCTCACCCTGGTGGGGAACAGCTCCATCCTCCTCCTCTCCCTGCTGGACCCCAGACTCCACACGCCCATGTACTTCTTCCTGGACAACCTCTCTCTGCTGGACCTCAGTGTGACCTGCACCATTGTGCCCCAGCTGCTGGCCAACCTGTGGGGACCAGACAAGACGATTGCTGCCTGGGGCTGCATCACACAGGCCTATCTTTTTCACTTGATTGGCTGTGCCGAATGTGCCTTGCTGGCCATGATGGCCATTGATCGCTATGTGGCCATCTGCCGGCCCCTCAGGTACACTCTCCTCATGCGTCCCTGGGTGTGTGTGCAGATGGCAGCTGCCTCCTGGTCCAGTGGCCTGGTCAATTCCATGCTGCAAACTACACTCACCCTCCAACTTTCCCTCTGTGGACACCACATCCTGGATCACTTCTTCTGTGAGGTGCCTGTGCTCATCAAGCTGGCCTGTGGGGTTACCGCTGTTAATGACTTGGCCCTGGCTTTAGGAGCTATCCCTTTTGCACTGTTGGCTCCCCTGACGGTGATCATCTCCTACACCTTTATTGCCAGGGCTGTATTGAAGTTACCTTCAGCACAAGGAAGACACAAGGCGCTCAGCACCTGCAGTTCCCACTTGCTGGTGGTCACCTTGTACTTTGGCCCTGCCATCTATGTGTATCTCCAGCCTCCGGCCAAGAGTTCCCAGGCCAAGTTCATGTCTTTCTTCTACTGTGTGATCACCCCAGGGCTCAACCCACTCATCTACACCCTGAGAAACAAGGATGTGAAGACTGCGTGGAAGAGGATCCTGCAATCCCAGAGTGGGATGAAGTCTTTAAAAGCCAGATGATCTTGGCCTGTCACCTGCAGCCACCAAATGCACATGTCAGTGAATGCTGGTATATCAGGTCTGCTTTTCCAAATGAACATCCATAACTTCAAGGAAAAGAGCTCCCTTCTCCAAATATTAAATAACCTGATAACCAGAGAATTCTTTAGCTAGAAAGTTCTGCCTGTGAAATCTAACACAGAGCCAGGTGCTTTTTTTTTATCCTTCCCCAAACCTTTTTTCTCCACAGACACAATGGACAGCATGGTCCATTCACCTATGGGAAGAGTTTGCTGCACAACCAGGCTCATTATAATCATTATTCACAATGGCCAAGGTATATAATAATGCTAAGTACCTATCAAGAAATGAATGCAAAATAAGCTGTAGTGTATATACAGAAAAAGAATATTATTTAAACCTACAAACACTAGTTTATTTCATTTGTGACAACATGGATCAAATTGTACAGCGTTATAATAAGTAAAATAAACTAGGCACAAAATGACACATTACCTATGCTCTCTCTGTGTGGACTATGAACAAAAGAATAATGTCTACAGCACCATGTCTTTGCTTTAATATATTTGTACCAAAACCTGGACTTGAAAGTTAGGCAAACTGAGTTTTGAAAAACTTCAGCAACCTAAGTAAGTGAACAACACTAGTCCTCATATTCAAAGAACAAGGCAAATCAAACATACTTTTCATGTGAAAAGGGCTCTGTATTTTTAATCAAATGTGTCTAAACAATGTATTTCTGTGACTTCTTTCCCGTTTTTGACCAGAACTCATGAACTGACATTAGCAAAGGATGAGTAACAAAGGGACTTGAGGGCTGCGGGTTGGTGAATGTGAAGTGACAGGGAGCAGCCCTGAGTCCCAGATGTTTGTTGTCTCTGGAGGGACGGAACCACGTTGCCTTCAGTGTCAGACCTCCACACTCTGCTCCTTCACTGCCCTCTGCCAAAAGGATGTCATTTCATAGTTTCCTTCCCTTGGAGGAGATTTTACACTGCACAGAAAGGCTTTTTAGTAATACTCAGAGCTTGTGAAAAGGGAGTTGCAGGATCCCAACATATATTGGCACAGGGTAACCATTTCCATTCTAAAAAGCATGGGCACGTAAATAAAGAAGGCTTCAACCAAAGCACTCTAGAACCCAGTAGAGCAAACGTTAAGTCATGTGGTTCCATGTGTGGCAACCAAGGCACATTGTGATGAGATGTGAATTTCAGAGGGCTTCTGTGACCACATGCAATGACCCTTTGTCTTGTAGCCCACATGGTCTCCCACTTGGCCTGACTCTGCTTGCTGCCTGTAGCTTTCCTCACTGGAAAGTCTATGTTCCTGATTTCCAACTTCTTGGGTTCCCCATGTACCTGTAGGTTCATTTCCTCAGCTGCACATACTGCCCTCTTAAGCTCATGTTTGCCTCCCACATCTCCCTTTGAAATCTCAGAGGAAGAGTCCATGACCCCACAACTCTTACTTTCTGGGTATCTGAAAAAATGCCAAGATCTAATGCTAGCAGTAGCCAGGTTCCCTGGGAACATAGCCACAATAGTTTCAGATTGACAGGGCCTGAGAGTAGTGTAATGAATCCAAGGAGCAAATTCCTGAGGCTTTGCGGAACAAAGACCAGGTGCTCTTTACTCAAGTGAAATGTTACACTTTTGCACCTTAAACTTGTGAGAGGTGGGACATTTGTCACTCCTCAGATGCCCTCAAGGGATCTTTCCTCTGGTACCATTCAAAGTTCTTGGCCTCCTTTTACTTCATCAACCACACGGCTTTTGCTCCTAGGTGAATGGGGAACAGGCAAATCCTAACTTTTTCAAATATTTCTGCTCTGTTTTAACTCCTGAATCTCGGAATACAACAGTCTGCAGGACACACGTCACAGCCTAAATGTTGGGTTATCTTGTAACTTATTTTGCCAAATCAATTACTTTACCACCTTTAATCTAAGCCTTCACACAAAGCCATAGGACAAGAACAATATGTCAGCAATTCACAAATCTATAAATGTTATACACCATATAATGGAGCCAAAGACAAAAACGACATGATCATCTCAATAGATGCAGAAAAAGCTTTTGACAAGGTCCAACGTGCATTTATGATAAAAAATTCTACAGAGAATAGGAATAGATGGTCTTTACCTTAACCTGATCAAAGCCGTCTATGACAATCCAACAGCCAACATCATTCTCAATGGACAAAAACTGAAAGGTTTTACTTTAAAATCAGGAATAAGACAAGGATGTCCGCTGTCACCACTCTGTTCAATGTAGCTCTGGAACCACTAGCCAGAGCAATTAGACAAGAGAGAGAAATAAAACGAATAGGGATAAGAAAGGAAGAAGTAAAA